TATACACAAACATACAAAGACAGACACTAGATTAGAGCTAGGACCCTATTTTATGATAGGATTTCAATAGTATGTGTACATATCTTAGGCATGCCAATTGTGAGTATAGCACTGCTACATAACTTCACAATATGTATTCTTCATTGCAAGCTTTATTACATTAATAACATTACTAGGAGAAACTCAAGAAAACCTGTTTGAGGTTGAGCATGGAGTGGTACAGTTAGTGTGGTACATTTGGTATTGGTAAAACAGGTATGTTTTGATGTAGAGCTTTTTGTGCCAAGAACAAGTGTAAGCAAAAAATGTTAAACTAAACCCTGAAAACCTACAATGAACCCTAATCCCTGACCCTAACAATATTCTAATCTAACCGAACAGATAAACTAAGGCTACATTCACAGCTACCAACTAGGTGCGATTTGGTATTCCTGTGTCAGGAATTTGAGATTTCCTGCAGCAGGAATTCCAAATCTTCCGTTTACAAATGACAGCTGTCACCCATTCAAGTTGATGATCGGGTGACAGCGTACGCTTATAAACAGCAGATTTGGGATTCCTGCTGAAGGCATTAGCATTTTCCCGACAAAGGAATCCCTGAAATTTTTTTTTTTTCTTAAAAGCCTAAAAGAAACTTAAGCTAAAATATACTGAAAAAGGCTGTCATTTGTGGGAATTGGGGGGGGTTGGATCAGGTGTCAGAAATACAGTCTTGTGAAAACAAAAGTGCCTTTTATTTCACTGCAAAACAAACAGAAGAGGCTTACTTCAGCAAAGAGGCAAAACAGCAGGCTTAACTTTAGCATACAAGGCAAAACTGGAAGAAAAGCTCAAAAGAAAAGTGCCTCTGTTTTGGTCTCTTAAATATACTATTGAACTATTGCTATTACCATTGTTTTGGTATATCAGTTTTAAAAATACTCGCTGATCCTGCCAGACGTCATGTGAGCTGTCAACGTCCAGTGTTCTTTGCCTGTGTTAGTACTTAATATTGTTTATAGCTCCCTCTGTGGACTACAGAACACTCCCATCTATGTTATCAAGAAAGGAGGGGTTCTGAAGTCCCAAAACACTTCCTGGCCTATGGTGCCACCGGTGCTACCCCATAGCTATGTGTTACTGGCAAAACTACCAGGTGAAAATAAATGGAAAAAGCCTGAATAAGGAAATTAATGCAGTCCCCACATCTAAGGACTGATAAGCTGAAATATATTACATTTTCTTCGGTTCATATACACTGTAACTCTGATAAATGTAAGGTTCTGCACTTAGGCTAATGGAATAACATTTCCCCTATACATCAATACCGTTGGGCTATACAGAGGTAGAGGAGGATTTGGGAATACTGTAGAAATAAGCACAGGCGGCCAAGTAAATAATAAAAAGGGTAAAAATCTTACTAAAATCAAAATATATATAACCAAGTCCTGTTTAAATATTTGGCAAATAACCTTACTATCCCAAAGACTTATAGAGGACAAGGGGACCAAGCCTCGTGTGCATGATTAACTGTAGAGGGAAATGGCTTCCCGGGTACACAGCATTGCCCATTGGCCACTGTAGTGCCCACTGGGGAGTGATGCCAAACATTCTTATTCCTGACTACCTGAATCATATGACATATCAATTAAATGTTTGCCTTCATTCTATGGCGAGTGTATAATTAAAAGAAAATGTATTATAGCAGGTATTTACTGTTTATAGGGCCCACAATTTACGCAGTGCTTTAAATAGTGCACATTCACATGAGTTCCTGCCCTCAGGGATCTTACAATTTAAGGTCCCTATCCCACATGCATACATACAGGGCCGAATCGGATAGGAGCCAATTAACCTACCATGCTAGGTGATATTGTAAAAGATGTTTCTTCATGTCATATATTATTCAGTTTGTTTTGTTTTGTTTTTTTTTTTTAACCAAAGTATGAACTAGTAAATTAATGTTGTTTTAACTGTTTTCAGAACAGCTTTTATTGTTAGTTGGAGAACAATGGTATTTGTATTGGTAATTAATATGCAAGCAGTCCAAAATACTTTTGTAAGGTGCAAGCGACCTATGACAATCTTTTGTAACAAGTCTATGTCTTTGTCTATGACAAACTATTGTAACAGGCAAAAGGCAGACAGTCTTTTGAGAAATGCAAGCTGTCTGTGTTACATAGTTACATAGTTACATAGTATTTGAGGTTGAATAAAGACATTAGTCCATCAAGTCCAACCTATTAGGATCTCATTCTAGGAGTACCTGTACCCCTGTATATTACGGTCCCTTAAGAAATCGTCCAAAAGTTTCTTGAACAATTCCACATTATTTGCTGAAATCACCGCCTGAGGAACAGTGTTTTCCATTGTTTTCCAACATTCAAGCAGTCTGTCAGTTTGTTGTAACATATCATCAGTCTATGGCAATCTTTTGTTAAAGTTGATCACTGGCCAGGGACCCCCCTCCCTACTAAAATTTTAAATGTTTCTCCCTCCAGCTAATTATCCCAGCAGTTTAAAAAAAAATAAACAAAATGGCACACCACATTCTCTTTTTCAGGACCACAGAGTAGGAGGGTCCCTCTTTGGGTGCCCATATCGCTGCCTGCTGACAGGGACACTTCCCAAGTAATATTTCAATCTTGAGAACTGGTCAGCTGCCATTGGGTTGGTCAGGAAGGATTTTTTTCCTCCTACTACATGTGACAGAAATGCCAAGAGAATGGTGTGTATGTTATGCAGGGGGATTGTTTTGCTTCCTCTGGTCAAAGCTTCAAGAATTGTGAGAGGTTAATGGAGGTTTGATGGATGTTAGACTTTATTTTAACATCATTAATCATGTAAAGTTATATAAAAATTAGATTTACAGAACATAAGTGATTATAAACAGTCAGTGGTGTATTAAGCATAGCATATCTGGACCTCAGACAGATATTTTTTTTCCTTCCCCCGTACATCAAAATGATTTTCAGTAATGGACATGAAATTAAACATCATGCACGCTAGGAGGTAGGAGCAGACTTAGCTGGTGGAGGTTGGACAGCGGCAGTGGTAAGCAGTATGCAGAAATACTGAACATGTAGGAACTTAGAGACGTTCTCCTCTTCTGCATAGTTACCAACATTTGAAAATTGCTAGGAGGAACACCGCTTAACACTTGGAGATTCGGCCAATAAAGTAGTTTTTGCTTCACAGTTTACGGCTTGCAGTGTGAGAGTAAAATAAGCCCCAGCATTAGTGTAATTGGCAATAATAGTAATCCACAGCATTGGAGTGGACAAAATAACTTCCCCTTCATTTGGTAGTCAGTGGTAGTAACATTAACCCCTCCCTTAGCATTGGTGGTTAGTGGATGACTGTAACAATAACTCCCCCGCATTAGTGGTCAGTGGCTGGCTGTAACAATAAACCCCCCAAGAATGATTGGTGGCTAGTGGCTGTAAAAATAACCCCCCTCCCCCAGTAACTAATATACACCTCCAGCATTGGTGGTCAGTGGCTAGTTGGAACAATAAACAACCCCAGCCTTGGTGGTTATTGGCTGGCTCAAACAATACCCACCCAGCACTGGTGGTCATTGGCTGGCTGGACCAATAATAATATCCCCCCCAAGCATTGGGGTTCAGTGTTTGTTTACCTGATCAAAAGCTCTCATACCAAGCTGTCTCTTGAAGTTGGGTCAGAA